GGGGGCCGAGACCGCTGGAAACCTAAGTAAATAAATAAATAGCTTCTACAAGTGAATTAGAAATCCAACAGTCCCACAGACAAATGGACAAAGGACATGAAGACAGTTCTCAGCAAAGGAAATACTCTCCTGTGTTCCACAAAATCTGTTTATCAAATTAATGCTGCAACTCAAAATGCTTTAAATGTTGATCAACATCAATCTGCCCCAATCGCAGTTATTATCACACTACAAACAACAGCCCTGGCAGAGTCGTCTGGTCTCCCGTGTGTCTGTCGCCCGTCTATGAGTTCTGTGGTCCTCAGCATCTCGGAAGCACCCATGGCGCCTTCACCATTCCCACCCCCCCTCCTGGCCTCAGAGACAGAGATGTTACCTCCTGGCACCTGCTCTCCCTGCAAGGACCCCTGGGAGCCCCTTGGGACCCTGCCCCTACCACGGGGGCGCTTTTGCTCCCCCCGGGGGGCCCTGTGACTCTTTTCAGGAGGGCTGTGCCTCTGCCACCCCTCTGTGCCCCCATACAGAGAGTCCCAAGTGCCTGGGCTGTGTGACCAGCGCAGCCCCAGTCAATGACCGACAGGCATAGAATATGGCAGCACAAGTCCCCCGCCTGGGTGGGGACAACAGAGGTGTAACTTACCTCCGGAGCTCCCCTGCAGATCGGGTAAAGTGACCCTTTAGGGAACTTTTAGACCCTTGCTCGCTGCCCTCCTTCTAGGTCCTTACTGGTTTCTCCTGGGAGCGCTCGCTTCATAAACCACTTGCACACAATCCTTGTCTCAAGGCCTGCCTCTGACACACCCAACGTAAGACAGGATCTTCTTCCTCAGTAACAAAATCCTGACTTTCATTCTGTCACATGGCCTCCCTGAGTAAGGACTACATTTCCCAGCCTCCTTTGCAACTAAGATGGTGACTCGTTCTTGCCAATGAGGCAGAAGCAGAAGTGCCCTGTGGAACTTCTAGGAAGTCCAGACAGGGAGCTCTGCTGAGGGCTAGAGCTCATCTTGGACGCTGAGGACGCGGGCACACCCTTGGGATGTGGGAGCAAAGATCTGGAAACTCCTGACAACTTCATGGACCTGCCGATACCAACCGCAGATTACCTAACACCCCACCCCCACCCCAGCTTCTCTTCCTCGAGAATTAAGTTCCTCTCTTGTTTAAGCCAGTGTCATTGGGTTTTTGTTCCATGCAGCCAAACTTAATCCTAATTTATAGACCAGATCACGGCTATAGATACTGAAAAAAGGCAGATGCTTGCTTTTCCCAGCCTCCCTTGCAGCTAGCGTTTGCCAGTGTGATCCAGTTCTGGCCAATGAGATATAAGAGAAGGTCTGGTGGGGAGAAGGGAGGGCGAAGAGGTTCTGGAAAAGATTCTCTTCCCCAG